CGCACGGTAAAACTTGAAATTGCAAATGCAGTGGGAAACAACACTGAAGTACATTATAATTTCATCGTAACAGATGCACTAAATGGAATATTCAGATTCAGAGACACAGTATTATTCTGAAGTTCGAAGTTAACTATTCAAATTGTCTAGCTCACCGCCGTAGCGCTTCATTTCAACAAGAATGAAATGTTCATACCGGGTTCAAATCTGGAAGACTGCGTCAGGCCGGGGACGCAATCGTCAATCGCGGAAAACAAATGCGAGCACCATAAATAAAAAAAATGAGAAGCATCCATGCACGCATCTCTCTTCGTACTGTTATTTTTTCGGTCTTGACTCGGGCCATTAGCAAGTATATGCTGCCGTGCGAAGGAAAAACGCCGTATGAACATTCGAGAGTTGCCAAATTTCCTTCGATGAAATGTTTGTTTTTTGGGAAAGTTATGAATATTTTCCTTTAAATTTTCAGAATCTTTAGGTGAAATTGCGAATTAAATTATTTGAAAAATTGGAAGGAAAATGTTCATAAGTTTACCAGGAAATTTACGATTTATCAAAGGAAATTTAGCAACGCCTGAAGGTTCATACGGCGTTCTTCCTTAGCACGGCAGTATGTGCGTTCATTGCCAACCGAGTCGCTCTTTTGCATGACGACGAAAGTCAATTACGACGTTTGGAATTTCACGACACCTTTAACGTTTGAGGCCTCCCGCTCAATGCTCTCCCGGCTGTGAGAAAAAAATAAAAATTGGCGACGTCACTGAAATCATGACCAGGAATGTAAAAAATGAGAGGAAAAAAATTTAAAAAAGGCAGTACCTCACAAGTTGGTGATGGCGTGCGTGTTGAAATTCTCCGGAGGTGTAAAAAAGCCCCGCTTTGGTTTGAAAATTCGTCGAATTAGCAATTTGTTGCGAAAAGTCTGCGTCACAATTTTTTAAACGTAAAATTAGATTTTAAAAAATCATAAATTACTGTTTCTAGGCGTTTCTTAAAGCCTCCTGAATGTATCCCCAGAAGTTTCAATATATTTCATGAAATTTCGTGAAGTTTCATTCGAATAAATTTCATGAAATTTTCCATCTCTGGATGTCCCCCGCCCGTGAGAGGTTAATGGATAGGAACCCATAGGTAAAATGTTGAAAAGAAGAATCACTCGGTTGTTTATGGGTAAAAAAATGAACTCACCGTGGAAATTTTAAAACGTTCTGATGAGCTCGAACTTACGCCTTTCTGCAAAAAATCGACTCAATTTACGGGGAAATTTTGCACTGAATTTTCTCGGCGTGAAACCTGTCATATGTCCCGCTAGTACTCTCACTTTTATCCGCAGGTCTCGTATTCTACTTTCAAAGGAAGAACGCCGTATAAACCTGCGGAGATTGCCAATTTTTACTTGAGAACTAAGCATCATCAGAGAAACCAGCCAATAAAATTATTTCAATTCCCCGTAGAACTTTACTAACAATTATTATTCGTAAATCTGAAAGTGTCACCAAGAAAAATCCTCATAAATTTTCTCAGAAGTATCGTACCGGGGCTATAGCACGGCAACATTAGAACATCCATGAAACGTTCGTGTCAGTGTTTTTTACGTTCAACTGTTCAGGTCCCATGAACTTTGATCGCAAGAAGCTCTTGCATGTCTTCGGGATGTTCAATTCAGACACTTTTTTTTAAAAAATTCCGGGACAATCACCATCATGTCGCTGGTTTTTTCTGAAACCAACTTTCAAGCCGCAGAAGCTCCAAACGCTGAAGCCGTCATAGAAGAACTCGCCCCCGTTATGGCCTCTACATCCACTCAGACTTACTCTACACTGCCGTGCTAAGGAAAAACGCCGTATGAACCTTCAGACGTTGCCAAGTTTCCTTTGATAAGAACCAAATTTTGTGGGAAAATTGTGAATACTTTTTTTTTTTCAAAATTTTCAGACAGTTTAATACGCAATTTAATCTAAAATGTCTGAAATTGCAAGGACAAATATGCATTAATGTCGTAAAAAATTCATGTTTTATCAAGTGAAATTGGCAACTCTCGAATGTTCATACGGCGTTCTTCCTTAGCACGGTGGTACAGGTATGAAACCATTTTGCGAAGCAAACCTAAAACGCGCGCGCTACACAAAAAAATACAGGTGCGACACAGTAAATGTGCGCTGCACAGGAAAATCTGAGTGCTTCGCGGAAAATGCCGTGCGCTGCGAGAAATTTCGGACGCTGGTGAATTCCGCCGATTTTCCAAGCCACGAAAAATGTAAATTCCGCCTACTGTTCTCCGCGAGTAATTGTAAATTCCGCTGAAGGTGTAAAAGGTAAATGTTTTTGGAGCGGAAAGCAACGGAAAATGCGTGTGAGTAGCCGACAAAAATTGTTCATAGTGTCTTTAAGGCTGAATCTTTTGATAAAATAACGACTAGTGATCTCTCCTTAATAAAACGAAACGCGTATAATGCGCGCCGAAAGAATGGTCCGGTTCTGCCGCAAAGTAAATTCGAGGTACATGAAATCATTGAAAGCCTGGAACTTTTTACGGCTAGGGTAGAGCATATTTTACATTTAAATGCCACGCTCAATAATGTTATAATTTTGACGACCGACACAAACTTACAGTATTTATAACTTTGCAGTCGAGTTATGTTGATATTAGGTGCAGATTCAAAGTGTCGGATACGCTGTTACGTTGCGGCCAGAGGTTGAAAAGCAGAAGGCGTACTTACAGGAACAAATGGAAAAATTCAAAGAGCACACAGACCGATTTAAATTCGTTAAGAAAGTTACGAAAGTAAAAACTATTTGTTCCTTCATTTTAACCAAATTTTAGTTTTTAAACCAAAATTTATACGACGTGGGGTTCTTTACACCCTCAAAATGTGTTTTACTGTGTATTTTTAACGTCATCAAACAACAGCTGCTATCATTCTTAGTTCAAATCATAGCGCCATTTAAAAGGTAAGCAATTTTGTACTACTCCAAAATTATGTCTTTTTAAAAAACATTTGACGGCGCAATTTACACTTTAGAAAAATGGGAAATCGGGCGCGATTATTCTAACGCGAGTTCGAATAATCGCAGCATACGCAGTGCAACCTGCGTTAAATCCATATTAGTGCCCACAAGACTGCAGAAATACAGCACGCATTCCACCAAACAGAGCAGTCAACGTGAACGCATATCAGCGCCTACAACACTGAAGAAATACTTCACGCATTGCGCGTACACCACGTCGCGCGCTCTAATCGTTTTTAATTCTTAATATCTCAGTGTCAGGCCTCCCGCCCGCGTATAATTTGTATTCTTTATTCTTCTCTTTCTTATTCTATAACATATTTTCTAGTCGAAAGTTATCATATGAAATGCCGATTAAGTGTCTAAAACCAGACCCTTCTGAAAAGTTTCTCTCTCCATTTCGTGATGGTTTTTCGTGGAATTAATTTGAAGGTATTTGATTGTATATTTTTCAAAGGACCAACATTTTATTTTTACAACTTAAGGAAAAGCTTTTCGACAAGTGGGTATGACTTTATATTTGTAACCCAAAAAGTGTATTGGAAGAACTCAGAAGGTCCGAAAATTGATGTTTATTAAAGGCTCATATAAAAAAATACCTCACGGCGAAAATATAAAACTTTTCCTCCCGCAAGATGCGTATTTTTAGGCATGTAACTCAAGTTGCAGGTTTAAAAATTGATGGAGTCCCTTACTCTTTTCTTCTCAGCTCGATCCAAATAGCTTGGGTTGAATCGTTTGATTACACCTAAGGTAGATACCGATGAATGCTTCTTAAAATCAATTTGATAAGCACATCAGTTTTACAAATTTTGGAATTCTTTTGATGTAAAGAATAGTAACGGATGCATCGTTGATCCTATAGGATGTACCAAATTATTTACACTGTCCTTGAGAAATGTTCAAGAAAAAAATGAACACGTCGAACATTTCATGAGATTGCAACGCACCTTAATTTAGGGCCCAATGTGCTTTAAATTAACTCCGGCAATTTAACAAGCGCGCAGTTAAAATTTGATGAACACAGAAATAATTGATTTTGCAAGAACGGGTTATATCCTTGCCCTGTCTCAATCGTGCTTAGAGCAAAATAATTTTAATCAGGATACGTAGTTGTACGTAAGTTGTAGTGATTAATTTTTCTCTCGTCAAGTAATTCATCCTATACGCAGAATTTGGCGAGAGCGAACCAAACAACTTGCTAAAAAAAAACTGAGTTACAAATAGTATTCATCTTACCCATAAGCATATATTCTCTTGATGAAGGTACATCTAATGCCTGCCAGGAATATTTTACATGTAAAAACTGTATGCGAAGTTTAATGTTTACACTGAGCTTGAAGGAGGGGGAAGACACTCCAACCTTTTTCTTCCGTTCAAAGATCACGTCACCTGATTTTTTTTTCGTTCTTGCAAAAAACCACGCTTGCCATCATCTATCTCTTAAATACCAAGTGCAATTTAAAGAATAAGAAAAAATATGAAATATGATATATGCGATAAATAAACAACGAACAAATGGCTGAATATCAAATTCCAATGTATTTTGATGCCATTCAATGTGCAATTATTAACCAAGAAGTAAAAGACAATTAAAATGAAACATTTTAATCTTCAATGATTTAATTTGAATTTAAATTTTAAATGAAATTAAATGCACTGAAAAAAGTCGCTTGAATCTAGAGTCCAGATTCTTTATAACATTGATTAGAAAAAATACTCTTGATTCAATCCGGTTTTTTCTCGAATCGAATATCTGAGCCTTCTAATTAAGGCGGGTTTCCTTCTGATTCAAGCGAAAAGTCCTAAAGAATCAGCACTGGAAAAAAACAGATTGAATCTAGAGTCCAGACTCTTGAAAACATTGACAAGAAAAACAATTCTTGATTCAATCGGATTTTTGCTTTAATCAAAACGAATTCCACTTAAATTAAGAGGCTTGGTTCTTGATTTAAGCCTAAATCTGATTGAATCAAGAGTATTTTTTCCTGTCGATGTTTTTGAGAGTCTGGACTCTAGATCTAATGTGTTTTTTTTCCATTTTAGATCCAAGCTACTTTTTTTCCAGTGTGTGAATCTAAAATTTTGAATGCAATTTGTAAATTGAGAGTATAACGAAACTTAAAGAGTTCTTTTAAAGCTTTTTTTCAAATTTCGTTTCTATAATTTCAACGAATTTAAAATCAAATTGTTTGTCAATCATGTGCTTCACAATATCTGCAACGTAACCAGTAGCTCTCTCGCCACCAATCGAAACATTGCGTTTGATCAAATCCTCACCGCTCAGCGAGTACCAGTCAAAGTCTTCATCCTCGTTTTCCCGCCGCAACATGTACGGCAGAAAAAACGCGGCATGCACGTATCCGTAGAGCCCCCTCCTCCGAAAATCCAAAATCACGTCCCCCAACGTGGGAGCCTCCCGAATATCGATATCGGGATTCGAAACCAAAGCCGAGTGGTACGTTCGGAGCATCTCATCCCAATGAAGAGACCTAAACTCCGGAGACGAATTCATAAAGAGGAAAAAAGACATATCTACAACCGGCGAGGCGTAGCGGAACGTCCCGAAGTCGAAGAACATCGTATCCGAGGGCTTGCCCTCCGCGTCGCACCTGTAGAATATGTTGTTCCTGCAAAAATCACCCAAGCAAATCACCGCTAGGGGCTCGACAGGCGCCACCAATTTCGCCATCATGAGATCCGCTTTTCGGATCGCGTCCGTGATTTCCCTTAATTTATCGCGATATTTCGGGTCCTCGCGAAGGGGTCGAATCCCTCGTTTGCAGTTCTCCACGTAGAAAGCGTCGGGGTTTCTTACGATTCGCTCCTCCGTCCATGCGGCTTCGGAAATTTTGGCGCAGACATCTCGGAAGCGTCCCGGAAACCGCTTCTTGCAGACGAGGGAAAGCGCGTGGAATTTGCCTAACCACTCAAGTGTGAGTTTTATGTGGTCGTAGTCGATGAGGGCTTTGGAGTCGTGGAGCTTGAATCCTAATTTTTGGACGTTCTCTAAGATTAGAATGTTGTCCGTACTCGAGCCGTTGCGCTTGATAGATGCGTGGAAGAATTTCGGGAACAGTTTTGCGATCACCTCGTCGGAGTCACATTCGGTGAGCAGAGGAATGACCTCGGTGTAGAACAAGAGTTCGTTTTGGAATTGGAGGAAGTAATCCCACTCCAGGGAGCCCGATGGCTGGTTGTTGAAGATGTGCTCGGGTAAGGTTTTAATCACTATGCTTCGGACACACGAGTCGCCGGCTTTTGAGTTCGTGACTATGTCTCCGAAAAAAATCGTCGATTGGTAGGAGGAACTGGCGCTCATTTTGTCGTCGCACACGAAATCGATGAACTCAACTTGATCGGCTCCGAATTTTCCCTGCTCAACCAAAGCTGGGAGAAGCCCGGATTTTATGCTTTCGAGGACGGACATTTTTCCCTCCATCTTCTTTTTTTCGGAGGTAAAACGTTTCAAAACCAAGTGACAGTCGAAATTAGATTCACAGGAAATACTCTGATTTGTCAATTATCACATCGTAATGTATATTGCTTCCGTTTTTAAGAGGTTTTTTCCTGGTGGCGTCAATGAAGTTGTATTGATTTAGTGTCTCGTCACAAAACGTTTTGATGGACCAGAATCTCTTTCCCAGTTTTATATAGTCTCTGAAAAGAGTTCTCGTTGATTTAGAGAAAAATTAAATCAATGAACAGTCGAAATTTTTCAGAGGAGGTTGCACACCTTATCAGCAGAGTTAATTACGTTTAATAAACAGTTTTAAACGTATTTTCAAAACCAACTAACAGTCGAAATTAGATTCACAGGAAATACTCTGATTTGTCAATTATCACGTCGTAATGTACATTGCTTCCATTTTCAAGAGGTTTTTTCCTGGTGGCGTCAAGGAAGTTGTATTGATTTAGTGTCTTGTCACAAAACTTTTTGATGGACCAGAATCTCTTTCCCAGTTTTATATATAGTCTCTGAAAAGAGTTCTCGTTGATTTAGAGAAAAATTAAATCAATGAAGAGCCGAAATTTTTCAGAGGAGTTTGCACACCTTATCAGCAGAGTTAATTACGTTTAATAAACAGTTTTAAACATTTTTTATTCATCCATGGTTTATTTCGATAGTGCGTCAACTCAAAAAGGCGCTTGGATTGAAAACCAATGTTTCCAAATGGATGAAAATAAATCAATTGTTTCTAATATTATTAGCCTACCCACATGATCATTCACTTTCACTTTCACTACAGTTGATTTACCCATAAAAGTAATAAATGATGCAGATGTTAAAAGGATACCGTAAACTTTACATTCATAGCCGAGACTACACAAAAATTGAGAGTTACGAATTTGCTCTGCATAAACTTTCAAATGCAGAAATGATATACAATAACAAATCACTTGTTACACCGTTATCAACACAAACTTTAGTCTGCCGCAGAAATGAAGATGCTTTGAAATAGAGTTGAGTAGGATAACTGATAAGCACACATTAATTGCTTGGCGTGGGATCGCATTACAGCATCGTCAAAGCTGCGTCATCAAGCTTAGAATAGCTATTGATTTTCAAGAAGTAACTCTCGCATTATTCACGAATGAGAGGCACCTTTCATCACTGTTTTGAACGTATCTATGCTAAAAAGAACTGCATGGAGAATTATGGCTGAAGTGCGACACCACGTATCTCAATTGCGGTATTTCAAAGTCTCCCCTTCTATTTTACTTTTTCGAGGAGAAACAAGCCAATTACATAGCTTGGAATTTCTACGGAATATTCTGAATGCAGAGAGGGAAAATCAAGGATGTTTTCGACAACTTGAAGTGACTAGTTTTTCATAGGAAGCATAGAGTATGAATGCATGACCGGAAGTTGCAAACGGAGATACGTCGTTTTGCGCTTTAGCCATCGGAATGTATATGGTTTGCGTGCAACATAGTGTTTTTTGCATACTTATGTTCTTACTTGAACAATCAAGAATCAATCTATCTTCATCAGGCACTGCTCAATTTCCTCTCGAGTTTTATTTTTTGGCTGACAACTAGGTGACGTTCTGAAATGAAATTTGTCATTTTATATTCTTATAATCCCAAAAAAATCGCAGAAAGTATCAAGGCGTTACGTTTTTTTTCGTTTTCTCGTGTGAAGAATTGAGTACGGGAGAAATTAAGGCAATTTTCATTGCACATTTTGCAATAAGGCACCACTATTTCTGGCTCACTCAAGAAGCAATGTACGTATTTTTAGTTTCACTTTGGACTTCCCTTCATTTCGAAATTTTCGACCACGGACCCCCCCCCCTCCCCCGGTGGCGAGACGTGAATGATTGACTATCGATATTTCTCCATTTGAAGCTGTGGAAAATAATTGATTTTTACGGTGTTCGTTGCGAATACCCTGTTTATCGATCCTTTTCCATAGGTTTAAATAGCAAATCATTCGATATATCGCTGTATATAAAATCTGTTTATCACAAAGTATGCCACGCCACTGCTGCGACTTGTATTCAAAACTGCACCTCTTTTCAAGACTTCTTTCGCATTTTACTGATTTAGAAAAATAGAATAAAAACCCTCACAAAGCTCAAATTTTTTCCGTTTATTTTCCTGAAATATACAGTTTATTTACACTTTTACAAAATTTCAAAGACTTTTGTCAGACATGAGAGCAGAAACGAGAAGAGGAGGAGCAAAACTGAAGAAGAGGACAACTCTAGCTTCGATAGGTATTTTTGAGCCATTTTCTTTAAAACCACAAAACTCGCCACCGCTGCAGCTAGGATTTAGAACGAATCCATCGGACACATTTCTATCTCCTCCTCTTCTAGTTTTTGCTTCTTATTCTTCAACACTCTTATGTGAGATGATTGGTTCAATGACATTTCGACACCGATTTTTTGTCCGCAAACCTGGTTCTTCCAGTAGTTTATGTCCACGCGTTTTTTGCCGCGCGAGTTCGTGCCGTAGTACCTTGATTTATTTTGCGAGGAAAGTTCCGTACTCTTGAAGGATGCCTATTATTCTTAAAATGTTGGAGCGCCTTCAATTTCGATTGATACTGTGCAACACCTCTGTTGTGAAATAGTTGCTTGAAGCGCCGTGGCGGGCGGCTGGCCAACTCCTAACTCGCATTGACGCCTACAAACCTAAGGGGATACTTCAAGCATTGCGCCATGCGTGAAGTATCCTCTTAGGTTTGAAGGCGTTAGTGCGCGTTTCGTACCGGTAGCACGCCGCTCCGCTCTGTGTTCGGCTTTAATATTTAAAATCGCGGAGTCGGCGTTTTTCAGCTCACGATTTTGAAATTTTTGCACATTCCGCGTGGATTTTTCCATTTAAATTGATGAAAAAAAATGTATTAAAGGAAAATATAAAATGTGTTTTTTAAATATTAAGGTGGTTCCGTGTCAAATTTAATGATCCCCAAAGCACTTTACTTATTTCTTTTATCTTTTGGTTTTTCCTCTTTTATATTCATTTTTGTATAGTTTCTTTTTACACAACTCTTATTTTACACGTGGACGCAGACTGCTGGACAAAACAGGCACGCGGAAAAAAAATCGTCGACGGAATGTCCTGAAATCAGATGATTTTCAGTTGGTCGAAGAGATTCAGCACCGGTTCACTTGCTGGCGCGGTAAGGTGAGGCGACATGACCGCCATCGATCAAGAGCGAAATTCCGTTGATCATGGCTGAATTATCACTCAGCAGGAACATCACAGCATCGGCCACCTCGTCAACCTCTGAAAAAAAAAACCCCAGAAATGTATGAAAAAGAAACACAATTGCGGAGCGGTATCTAATCTATTTACGGGGTATATACGCTTTTCTTTTCAGGTGCCAATGGAGATGTCGCGTGTGTGAGGCATTTGCGATTTGACTACTGGTTCTCATGTAAAAGTTCGCAAGAAACACGATGGCGCCACTGGTTTTCTGTGAAATTAACTCCCAAGCTCAAAAAAAGCTCTCAAGTTGGGGCCAAAATGGAGGGAATATACCACGCTTTCCTGAGAGTCTACCTCCACATCAAAACAAACTCTCCATGCAAAGATAGGGAGGTAGTGATGCCGTGTTTTCAGTTTTGGAGTCCCCAAATAGAGTGGCAACCCTGCTAATGTATTTGCTCCCTATCTTTGCATGGAGAGCTTGTTTTGATGTAGAGGTGGACTCTCAGGGTAGGGTGGGATATCTCCTCCATTTTGGCCTCAACTTGAGAGCTTTTTTTGAGCTTGGGAGTTAATTTCACAGAAAACCAGTGGCGCCATCGTGTTTCTTGCGAACTTTTAAACAAGAATCAACAGTCAAATCGCAAATTCCTCACACATGCAACATCTCCATTGCGGAGCGGTATCTAATCTATTTACGGGGTATATACGCTTTTATTTTAAGGTGCTAATTTCACTTCGCACTCTTATCACCCGAGGTTTTTGGGCGATATAGCGCAGTCTCTCTGGCGTAAGGGCGTACCTCTATTTTCACATGAGCCCCCGAAAGCATCGAGTTACACCGAGAACAGGGCTAACGTGGTAATCGAGAAACACCCTTACGTCAGAGAAGCAGCGATATATACTCCGGCACAGACTTAGACTTGACTCCTCCACTTTTAATGGTGTAAATATATCTTCTGAATGGTGTCCGTAAAAAAGGGTGTCCGTGTGAACCGTAAAAAAGTGAAAATCGGAAAATACCCGAGTTGCTATGTTTTCGAACTCACTGATTCAAATGGAACCAAGATGTCTCGGACGAAACACCACAACCTTCCTCTGTCGCATGAAATATAAGGCATATTTACAAATTTACTCTTTGGTTGTACTTTATTTCCAAAATGAGATGAATGTTGTTGTTATCAAAATGACATCCGATATTCATACTGACATCAACAGTATTAATCTCGTTTGGGAAAGCCACAACCGAGTACCAAGTCTTTAAATTTGGATCATTTTTCATCCAACTGAAGAAGGCTGTGGTGTTTCCAGTCGAAATGTCAAAGTTTCGTTTGTGTTTTCTAGCCTTGTTATTTATCTTTTCAAACGTATGTCTTATCGCAGGCTGCTAAGTATCAAAAATACCTAATTATTTTGTTCTGAGTATTCTCCTAAACATCAAATCTTCGCCTCTCTGGCCTAAGGGCGTATCTATAGCATAGAGTACATATATCCCTGCTAAAAATTGTGAGTACAAATGAGTAGAAAATCAAAATCATATGAATAGAATTTCAATTCATATGAATAGAATTTCAACTCATGTGAATAGAACTTCAACTTAAATGAATAGAATTTAACTCATATGAGCAGGATTTCTCTATTCACTTTTCGCCGACTCATATGACTAGAGATTTCAACTCACATGAGTTCAGCGTTGAATCCACCGTGTCCAATATCTCAGAAACTAGTCAACGCATCAAAAAAATTACAAGTACCAAATGTTCTTATTTTTCAAAGTTACAAGTAATTTCGTTGTGTCCTGGTCAAAAACACCACTTCTGAAAAATGAAAAAAAAATTGAATTCATATGAGTTGAACTTTTCTACTCTTATGAGTAGAATATTCTAGTGATATGAGTAGGATTTCTACTCATATCAGTAGGAAATTCTACTCATGTGAGTCGGCGAATTCTGAATAGCCTACTCATCATTTTTAGCAGGGATGATTATTATTTTTTTTTTATAGGTAGAGGGGAGGACGTACCGGCGAATCTGCCGAGGGGGATGCGTTCGAGGGCGGGTTCCCCCCTGGAGGGCTCCGACCACCAGTTGCGGCCCATCTTGGTGAGGACGATCGTCGGGTTGACGCAGTTGGTCCGGATGTTGTACTTGCCCAGCTCCAGGGCCATCACCCGAGTCACGCCGTCCAACGCAGCCTTCGTCCCGCAGTAAATCGTGTGGTCCTCGTGACCCTTCTACACTCACAAAACAAATCCAATCTTTACATTTTACGGTCATAACTTGACCAAATTTTGCGTATGAAACAAACAATATGGATCTACCTCCACTCAGTGCCAAGTCCGGAAAACATTGCGTTTTGGGAATAATTGAGATTCTTAAAATAATATTTTAAATATAATAATTATATATATTTTTAAATTTCTCTCCATTTTATGTATTTCTATATTCGGATTGCATTTTGCAAAAAGGAACCACTTGCATTGCAATGATGCTAAGATTGTGCAACTTCATCTTTTGCAATAAAATTGCGGAAATCGTGAAAAACTATGAAATTTAGATGGTAATTTCTGTCTTGAATTTACAGTTTTTAGCGAGTAAAATAGAAACTATTAATGGATAATCGGGTTTTCCCTCCAAGACAAAAGAAGTTGCACAATCTTAGCAACATTGCAATGCTAGTGGTTCCTTTTTGCAAAATGCAATCCATTTATTCTTACTTTTTCCCCTTTTTCCAATATCTTTTATTATTTCATTTCAAAATGTACCCTTTCTTTCCTTTTTTTTCTTCTTCTTTTTCTTTCTTTTTCCCTCATTTTTTTGTACTGAATTAATGTTTATTATAATTAATTCTTTTTCTAGTTTTAATTAATGTTAACGTATTCATGTTATTACTTTTTTCTTTCCATGTATTATTATCAGTTGAATTTAATTTTAGGTCTGATTCGGCAGAATAATTGGGTATTCCAAAATGCCGCTCAGATTAATGTTTTTTTTTTATGTTTTACATTTGGAATAAATATCTTAAAATCTATCTATCATTAAAAAAAAATTCTTTTTAATTAACGGACTATTAAATGGCTTTTAATGACATCTGAATAATCACCATCGCACACTCACCATCGCTGATTGAGATGAAATGTTGACTATACTGCCTTTCCCTCGTTCGGCCATTCCTTTGGCCACTATTTGCGCGACGTTGATGGCTGCTTTCACGTTGACGCTGAACGAGCTAAAAATATTAAATAAATTTGATGTAAAATGAGTCAATCGATTTCTTTATAAAAAAAATTGTGTGGATATTTTCTCAGAATGATGTTCATTTACATCAGGATTTTGCGTTACTTTGTCAGTGCACATTCGGAACGGCGCACAGTGGATCGAGTCAATTTGAGAGGTCGGACATGAAATTGTTGACCAAAACCGCAAATTTTGATGTTTAATTCGTCTCATTTTAAAGTTCAAGGGGTGCTTCTAGAAGAAAATTTCACCAGAAAACCATTGGAACCACTTTCAGAACCTCAAAGTTTTATATGAACGGAGTTACAAGCGTTTAAAGTTTCCACATTTTGTCCGACCTCTCCTACTGACTCGACCCACTGTGCGGCGTCTGTAATCAGAAATTCAATGGCGAGGCGGGATTGGTCACATCATTCACGTTGCACTGGAAAAAACCCATTGGATCTAGAGTCCAGACTCTTGAAAACATTGACAAGTAAAAATTCTCTTGATTCAATCAGATTTAAGCTTAAATCAAGAACTAAGCCCCTTAATTTGAGCGGATTTCCTTTTGATTTAAGCTTAAATCTGATTGAACCAAGAGTATTTTTTCTTGTCAATGTTTTCAACAGTCTGGAATCTAGAGCCAAGGTGTTCTTTTTTTCCAGTGCATCAGCGAATTCTCTATTTTAACTCTCCATTGTCCTCGTACCTGTCGATATCATTCTCGGTTATATCGAAGAAGTGATTGATCTTGGCGATGGCTGCGTTGTTCACGAGTCCGTCGACCGGGCCAATGTTGGAGAGCGCCTTTCTCGTCTCGGACCAGCTGTCCAGGTCCACCGCGATCGGCTCGATGTTGGGGTTTTTCTTCGCCAGCTCATCCAGGGACTCCTTGGATTTTGAAACGGCTATAACTTTGGCCCCGCTGTTCACCAGCTTCAGGCAAACGCCCTTTCCAATCCCTACGCAGAAAATGGGTCACTAACACATGAGCGAAACACAAATGAGGACTTATATTTAACGATAGCGGATGTCAAGTTTACACATTGTGAGAAAGTCGCGTTTGGAGTTTTCACTGGAAAAAAAGCACATTGGATCTAAAGTCCAGACATTAGAAAACATTAAAAAGAAAAAATACTCTTGATTTAATCGGATTTTTGCTTGAATCAAAACGGAATCCGCTTAAATTAAGAGGCTTGGTTCTTGACTTAAGCTAGATTCTGATTGAATCAAGAGAACTTTTTCTTGTCGATGTTTTTAAGAGTCTGGACTCTAGATCCAATGTGTTTTTTTTCCAGTGTTCAAAGCTCTGTACTTTGCCACTTGTAGAACTGAGAGGATTCTTGTAAAAATTTTCATGAAGAGCAATTACTCCTCCTGTAAAAAACACGCGCTTTACGATTTATGTAAGTGAAAAATTGAAGGAGTAAGAGCGATTTCAAAAAAAAAAATTGACACCCGCTATTTTTACTGAAAACGTTTTTTTATGCATGAAACAAAGTCTTCAGGAAGGGTAAGGCTGGTGTAACGATTTAAAGGAACCAAAAGTAAGTCCGCTGAGTCATTTAATAAAACTGGACAAAAAACTAAACCGTTCGCAACTTCTACAACAAAAATAAGGAACCAATTATAAAATCAGTTAAAAAATCAACAATTCTGGCGAGACGGTCCCAATACGTGTCATTTGAGTGTCAGCTGCAGCCCATGGTAGATGCGCGAGCAGTTATCGCAAGTGCGTTCGAATCTCCAGCGGTGTCCTGCCGCGCTGACCGCAGAGAACAGTGGAAATAACATAGTTAGTAGTTCCTATCTTGCCGAAAAATTGCACTGGAAATCTGAAACTTTGCAGAGGCATTCTCGCGAGGGCTCCAGAATTCGAAAAAAGCGTTTTCCCTAAAAATGGCGGATGTCAGCGACCGCTATTCACTGGAAAAAAAAGTTTGCTACGGACAAGCCGTCTCGGAATCTTGAGAAAAAATCAGCTTGATTCAAGAATTTTTATCTTAAAACAAGCAATTTATTGCTAAATTCAAAATTCGAGATTCTTAATTGCAGCTACCTTATATAGCTTGGATCCCCTGCTAGCTTGATTTAAGCAGCACAAAAATCTTGAGTCAAACCTGCTGAGTCTTACATCAAGCCACCACGGCTGCTAATTCTAAGAAGTTGTTTCTTGATTCAAGATACTGTATACTCGATTCAAGAATCCTGGTTTCAAGCATGACACGAATCTTGGAAATAGCTGAAAAAATTAGACTTAAATTAAGTTTGCAGCCTACTTCTTGAATTAAGTCTCCATTGGATTGTAACATGTAACCACTCCGCCTTCATTTTCGATACGGGCATTAAGTTATACATTCCTACATTCTCAAGTCATTTCAGGAGATCTCTAAAAGCCGCGCATTTTAACAGTGCTGCAAACCGAGAACAAAACCCGCGGCAACGCACGACGACTTCAACATGATCCATGTCAATCAGTGACGTTTTATCCCTACGTTACGGAATTTTATAAAAAATTAATAAAACTTTCAGTATTTAGTATTGGATCCGAGCATTAAACGAAAAATAAGTAAGATTCCGCTGGGTAGCTAATTTCAAGCAGCACGGCCGTGCTTATTTCAAGCTATACGTTTCTTGGCGGCAAATTTAAGATTTTTTCCAGCTTGTTTCAAGCTGATTTTGATTAGTTTCAAGCTACTTTTTTTTCCAGCGTTGTTACACACAAGTCCTCAAATACATTTTCCCACAAAAGTATTTTAATAAAAAATAATACTCTCCGAATGTCTCTCTCAGTTTTTAACCTCACTACCGAAAAATACTGAAAAATGGAATAGTTTATTTTTATCTATAAACATAAGTTTTTGACGAAACAAAGCGTTTAAAGTTTCCAAATTTTGTCCGACTTCCTCTGTTAACTCAATCCACTGCGCGGCGCACAATGAAACGTGTCAATGGGAGTGCTCGGGCATTATTTGGAAACTTTAAAAGCCTATACCTTCCGTGATGCGAAATACGAAAGTAATTCCAAACTTTTGTTCGTAAAGTTTCCTTCAAAAACCACTTATTAAAGCTAATAATGTGATGATTTTAACATCAAATTTTACAGTGATTGTAAAAAAAAACTCCTGAAAGCTCGATCTACTTTGCGGCGACACGCAAACTTATTTCCACATCTATAGTACTTGGAAGCGCTCGAAAGTAATAGTTCTTATAATTGCAAAATGTTGTCCAAACAATCCCGAAGGTACTGAATCACTCGGTTTATAAAATACTCCACATTGCTCTTCAAGTTAGGTCATGCAATAGTTTATTTAGCTGAATTTCAAGGAGGAAAAATTCGCAGGAAACACTCTAGTGCGTGACACAATATTTCCACTAAAGACACCGCTTCTTGAGTAAAACGGAGTCAATGTACTCACACCTTCATAAGTTCAAGATCAAAAACATTGTGTGAATTGCAGTGCCTCAGATGAGTGAGATAGCAATGGTGTATTCTTCGCATGCACACTGAAGCTGCGTCTCCACAGAGCGAGGTTGACGCGAAAACGGCCGCGCGACCAGCTGCAATGATTTTAAAGCTATGTTTCCACAAGCGTTAGCGACGCGAATCATCTTTATGTCATATTTAGAGAAACTTATTTCATGATTTTTTATCGTTTTCTAAGTCAAACCGCGAGGATATAAGTTTTTTAGAATTTTCCTTACTCAAGATAGTGTTTTTCTTCAAATTTGATCGTCGAAAATATGCGGTTTTCTCTTAGTCTTCAGGTCTAAGTTTCATTGAGTGATAGCCCCAGGGGAAAATGCGCTCAGGTATACTTTTTCTCTGTACCATAGAAAGATTACATCTTTGAGAGTAATGCGCTATGGTCAAAACACGAACTTCCCGGCCTTTTGGAGTTCTTAAAAAATACCACAAAAATATGTTTAATTAAACTAATGCCATAGTTTCAGTCGTTATTGGTATCAAACACTCTTGTTAAGTTTTCCAGACGTATAAATGAACTGTATTTTGCAATTTGGAACTATAAATTCTGGCTCTTCTGGAAAAACACTTATGTGTATAGGGAAAATGATGGTACATAAACGTGTGTTTTTACATGTTTAAAAACATATGTTTTTAAACTGAGCTAGAAATCATAGTTCCAAATTATTGCAAAATGCAGTCCAAATAGTCTCCGGTATCAAGTCATCCCGTAAAAATAAGCTCATTCCACTATTATCTTTTCTTTAAAAGACAATTTTATTTATCGATTCCCGTTACTGTTTCCAGAAAAATTCTATCAACCTTTATATAATGTTTATTCTAAAGAACCAAAATTGGATCCATGACAAAAAAAACAAAAAAAAAACCCAAAAAAACCTGTTTTTAGCCGGTCAAGGTTGCTTAGCGATCACGCGTCTGACTTTAGGCCAATAGTTCAAGGGTTCGAGTCTCAGTGGTGGTGACAGTTTTTTAGGAGTTCAAGATCCCGAAATCTACTTAGTAATATAAGTCCAACTTATCCTCATATTGGAAGTAGATATTAATTATACAATTTATATATCTTTAGTTATAAGTTTATACCATTTGTATTGCCTTTCAGACAATATACACGATGCGCGAATTCCGACATGTCTTCAGTGTATTTATTATGTATTTTCTTAATAAACACTTTTGATTTAAAAAAAAAAAATTAGCATTTCTTCGCCAACCTGTCACGAGAATCACCTTTCTCCTAGATTGAGCTCTGTTGTCGGTCAAGTTATTAAGCGCCGTTTGCTTAGAACATTTTCATAAAAAAAAAGCGATACCAAAAATTTGCAATAAAACTCGGAAGTTTTAGAAAAAATGAGATGAGAGAAAAATTGCTGAATTATTTACCTTGCCCCGCGCCTGTTACGAGAATTGTCTTTCCTTTAAAATTGAACTCCATTGTCGGTTGTTGACGAAGTCGAGTAGCTCTTTGCTCAAATAATTTGTGATGAAAAAAATCAACACCAAAAATTTGAAATACCAATCGAAATACTCGTGCGCTGAAACAGGTAATTCGTCTTGAGAGCCTGGTCGGACGTGTGTGCGAGAGTGTGTGCGAAATGAGTGTGAACACAAAAAATCGTGGATCATGTAACTTGAGGCTCCAAGCCACTTCACCCAAAAGTCAGAAATACCTTAATTGATCAAGGTTATTTATTTACTTTTCACTGCATGATCGAGACCCCTCATCTCTCTCTCTACTCTCATACAATTATTATCTCAGTTTTGGAGAATCTTATCAGACGCGAAACTCTGTAATTGTTTTGACTTTTTTTTCCTCGCCGTTATCGGTTTTTATTTATTCGACTCACTTTTTTACACTCTATGTGGGTCGCTCATTTTTCCAGCCTCCTCAAGTTAAATTCCAGTCTCTCGATAAGATGTGCAATTGAGTCGGTCATACTCAGAGAGGCTCACGCGCGATTGAAATAAAAATAATAAAAAAAAAGAAAAAATTGTAAAACATTTTTTTAATGAACTTAATCTAGTAAACCGTTTTCATGTAAAAAGTTAAATTCCCCGATTACATTTGGCAATAGCTGATGTGGCTTGGTTCCTTTCTGTTTAACGCGGTCCATGTATTTCTCTTTCTAAACAAGCAATTTGCCCTACGTGAGGCAGTGATTGACCCTCTCCTCCAAACCTTTTGGCCCTAGCCGTGCCTTTTCTGGAACCATACGCTGAATTTGGTTGCTGAATGCCAGTTAATAGTGTACAGCGCAGTAATGCCGCTGCTCAACTGTTGAATTTTCGTAATTTTAGATCTTTTTCATCTTAATTTGTATCAAACTTATTCAAATAGTTCAGACAAACTGACCTTTTGGCCCTAGCCGTGCCTTTGCCGAAATCATACGCTGAATTAAGTAGGCAACTGGATGACGTTGCTCAACACACTGGAAAAAAAACACATTGGATCTAGAGTCCAGACTCTAAAAAACATCGACAAGAAAAAATACTCTTGATTCAATCAGATTTAAGCTTAAATCAAGAACCAAGCCTCTCTATTTGAGCGGATTTCCTTTTGATTTGGGTTTAAATCTGATTGGTTTAAGAGTCCTTTTTCTTGTCAATGTTTTCAAGAGTCTGGACTCTACATCCAATATGTTCTTTTCCCAGTGCAGTTGAATTTTCGCAATTTTATGTCATTTCGTCCGCATCCGTGTAAAACCTATTCGAATAGTTCCGAAAAACTGATAAATTTCCGTACTTTTAGGTCTTTTTCACCCCCATCTGTATAAAACGTATTCGAATAGTTCCAGACAAACCGATAATTGCTAAGTCGGTGACCTGAATTTAGCACGTGACGGGCAAAATTCAGAGCACCACTCAAGAACGGACCCATGACTCCCACACTCAGCTGCCCGTATTCAGCTTGTGATCTAGCTGAAGGAAAAACGCCGTAAGAACCACCAGACGTTGCCATCTTTCCTTCGATAAAAACCGCATTAACTGGAAAATTTGTGAATATTTTTCTTCCAAATTGGCAAACGATATAGCTCGCAACTTTTCTAAGACATCTCAAAAATTCTAGTGAAAAATTGCATACATTTCCAGGAAAATACACTGAAAAAAATTATCGGTTTTTTTACCATGGTCCGTTGGTACCTTTACCATCTCACTTTTTTTTACCAATTATTGGTAATTTTACCAATACAGACTGGTAAGCTTACCTAAAAACCGGTATTTTTACTGTTTTTTTCATGTAAGAATACCACTTTTATTGGTAATCAATTCTCGGTTATAACTTTGCCTTTTTATCTCGGTAATTCTACCACAGTCGATAAAAAATATTGGTGTTTTTACCGGGGTCCAGTAAAATCACCGAGAAAGTCGATAATTTTACCGAGATTTCTCGGTAAAATCACCAATTCCATAAATGGTAATTTTACCAATAAGAAAAAACTGGGATCAAATAGAACCCTGAATTCTTGGTAATTTTACCTTTTTCTTAATAAATACACCGAGATTTTGTTTTCAGTGAAATGGTTTTATCCAATGAAATTTGGCAACTATTAAATCCTCATACTGCGATCTTCCTTAGCATGGCAGGCAGAGGCGCCTTGTGTAATTTACGGACGGCCCCATTATTATGATTCTGAGGCGTCGCGGGGGCACTCCACAAATTTCAGCGACAAGTCTCGAGTGTGTTTACATCGTAGATTTGTCACGTCTCAAGTGGGTTCATCCAAAATATGGGATCCACGTAGCAGTGCGGAGGCGTGAATGATCGATTATCGATATTTGCCCATTTGAAGCTATGGTAACGAATCGATTATGAGGGTATTCGTTGCGAACACCCCGTTGATCGATCCTTTCCTATAGGTTTATATGGCAGATCGATCGATATATCGCAAAGCACGCCGCGCCACTGCTAGGTAGCGAATCGGCCGGGGAAAAGTGGAAGGAAAGTGGAAAACACGTGCCGCTTAACGTGACGATCCTCATCGCTGAAACCGTCGAGAATCTTCGAACCCAGTTAATGCTACACTGAAAAAAAATTCTCGGCGTTTTTACCAAGGTCCGTTGGTACCTTTACCATCTCACTTTTTTTTACCAATTATTGGTAATTTTACCGAGACAGACTGGTAAGCTTACCTATGAACCGGTATTTTTACTGTTTTTTTCAGGTAAAAATACCACTTTTATTGGTAATCAATTCCTAGTAACTTTGCCATTTTATCTCGTTAATGCTACCACAGTCGATGAAAATTATTGGCGTTTTTACCAAGGTCCAATAAAATTACCGATAAAGTTCAATAATTTTACCGAGATTCTCGGTAAAATTACCAATTCCATAAATGGTAATTTTACCGAGAAAAAACTGGGATCAAATAGAACCTTGAATTCTTGGTAATTTTACCGCTTTTCTTAGTAAATACACCGAGATTTTTTTTTAGTGTATCGACCCAACATTTTCAAAGTCTGAAATAAATCGTCCGAGTCGGAGACACAGTTGAATGAAACTCGTATATAAAAATAAAGCCATCGTAATTTATTTTTTTTTTTACCTTAGAGAGATAATTTAAACAACTGTACTTCTTTCGTGCACCCATTATGAAATCCTACGCGGAGGAAAAAAGACTTCGTGCGTGGGACCCGAAGTTGAGATCATATGGATCTCTGAAGTTTTCGGAAGGCTTAGGACTCCTGACGAACGAGGGAACGATGTCAGCCTCTTTTGGTGAAGTGATTATGGTTGTAGCGTAGGCCTTATGATCACGAGGTCCCGGGATCGATTCCTAGCCGGGTGAGTTTGATGGCCTCAGGCTAGAGTCACCTGGGGCTGGGTGCAAGTACGTGAGTCAAGCGTGGGGCTAGCCTTCAAAGGCTGCTTGAAACATTGTTTAAACAAATGGACGCCTTCAAAGTCAGGAACCAAAAGATGAGAATAAAAAGGAAAAACAGTGAGGCAAAGCTAAAAAAAGCGAAGAAGAAAAAGAGCAAATTATTTCTGTTTTTCTCAATTTTTATCTTTATTTTTTCCTTCTTTTTTCTCCTTTTCCTCCTGGAGTTTCCTTCTTCTTCCTAGTATTTTTTTTCCAATTTTTCCATTAAATGTCTATTCATCTTTTTTTTCTTCTTCTTCTCCCGTTGTAGTTTTTCGCTATCTTCTTCCGACTTCCAAAATTGTCCTTATCTGACATATACGAACCCCCTACGATCTGAGTCTGTCAGACTGTGGTTGATCTATCACAGAGGAAACAACAGACAGTCGTTTCGAAGGCTCTACTGTTTTTGTCCTGATATTTAAAACTTGAAGGACGGGTCTTTCCGGAACTTACCAAAACCCGCCAACGTTAGCTTCACAGGAGGTATGTTTTCTTCTCTCCACATCATATCAAGGAGCCTTTATTCCCAGTTCATCCATAGATGCAGCTATGTGCTTGGGGAGCGAATGGCACCAGTGTTAATTCAAAAATATTAGTCATGAATAATCGTTTCTTATTCCATAAATTAGTCCAATAAAGCTTTCAGCAGGAATCTTCCGTATTTTTATTTTAAGAAAAATTAAGGATCCTCGTTGGGTTTGAAACTGTAAAAGTTTGTTTGCTTCCTAATCAGATAATCGTCAATGACTGAAAAATTGAATCGACAGGTGTTCCTCTTGTCTTAAAAATTCTGAAGTTGGCTGTATGACCCACTTCTCACACTCCAAGTTGAATCTGTTTTCAGATTATCGTGTAGTCATGAAATTTTCCTTCCCTCTTTAATCGCTTGGTTCGCGATCTTATCAAGGATAAAACCACTTGAGTCGTATTGAAAATTAAGACGGATTAAGCAATAAAAAATATCGATGCCTGTCGAAAAATGCGTACCGCCAATCGCAACGTTGATCATCTCCGCTAATGTTTCATTTCTTTAAAAAGGAACTCCTGGGTTTTACTTGTAATCATTTGTGACTTCAAAATCAATTTTCATGGACAATTTAAATAAGACTTCCTTGTAAGTTTTCACATGAATTTAAATGAAACAGTATCGACAATTTTTCGTAAAGTAGCGACTTAAGTACGAATGATTTGGTTTCAGCTGTTTATGATAGACTGTGATCGATGTGACCTACATCTTACCGAAAATAATCTTTAATTTGGCGAAAAAGTCAATGACACCAGTGAGAAAATCACGCCTTGGTGTATAACACTTACTGATAAGGTGAAATTATTACGAGCTGTCCAAACATTAGCAGTGTGTGGTCAATATCATACAATTTCACGGCGATTGCTAATTGCCTGCAACATATATACCTGAGAATGTTTGTGAAGAAATTAATGAGAAAAAACATTACTGACTGAACAATCACAATCACCTCCTGTGCAAATGTTTATTAAACAATACTAAAGCAATTTATCGATGGTGAAAGTGCAGAAGTGCGAATCTCGGAAAAGACGATTTTCCAGGCGAGTAAAAAAACTGTCTGCATTCCTCTTTATTGTCGGTAGAAGGGATTACCCTTCTACCCTTCTTATTAATAATTCTTGAGGATAGCAAGAATGAGATGTTTTTTCAAACTCCATCAGCAGTTTCAATAATTTCTCGAACTGTTAGAAAATACGGCAGAAATGCCGAGATTCGCGTTTTTGGCACTAAGAATCGACCCTTCATCAGTAGATTCGCATTTTTCCAATTAGTGTTTTAACCTTGTTGGTGGATTT